ATGGTAACCATGGCAACACTTTAGATGGTAACCATGGCAAGCTTCCAGATGGTAACCATGACAACACTTTAGATAGTAACCATGGCAAGCTTCCAGATGGTAACCATGACAACACTTTAGATAGTAACCATGGCAAGCTTCCAGATGGTAACCATGGCAACACTTTAGATAGTAACCATGGCAAGCTTCCAGATGGTAACCATGGCAACACTTTAGATGGTAACCATGGCAAGCTTCCAGATGGTAACCATGACAACACTTTAGATAGTAACCATGGCAAGCTTCCAGATGGTAACCATGGCAACACTTTAGATGGTAACCATGGCAAGCTTCCAGATGGTAACCATGACAACACTTTAGATAGTAACCATGGCAAGCTTCCAGATGGTAACCATGGCAACACTTTAGATAGTAACCATGGCAAGCTTCCAGATGGTAACCATGGCAACACTTTAGATGGTAACCATGGCAAGCTTCCAGATGGTAACCATGACAACACTTTAGATAGTAACCATGGCAAGCTTCCAGATGGTAACCATGGCAACACTTTAGATGGTAACCATGGCAAGCTTCCAGATGGTAACCATGACAACACTTTAGATAGTAACCATGGCAAGCTTCCAGATGGTAACCATGGCAACACTTTAGATAGTAACCATGGCAAGCTTCCAGATGGTAACCATGACAACTCTCCAGCTTCCAATGGACTATATATCAACTTAACATTTCATCCTTCTCTAGTTCCTCATTCTTTCTCTTCCACAACGCTTATTCCTTCGTTATTATTATTATTGTTTGCCTTCTAATCTTTAATTTTATTTACACCTCTTATTCTATACGTATTCTCTTATGTATATCTTCATTTAGTTCTCTGTTAGATTCACTCTGGGGTAGATGTTGTAGTGGTGGAGGACGTGGTGGTGGAGGACGTGGTGGTGGAGGACGTGGTGGTGGAGGACGTGGTGGTGGAGGACGTGGTGGTGGAGGACGTGGTGGTGGAGGACGTGGTGGTGGAGGACGTGGTGGTGGAGGGCGTGGTGGTGGAGGACGTGGTGGTGGAGGGGCGTGGTGGTGGAGGACGTGGTGGTGGAGGACGTGGTGGTGGAGGACGTGGTGGTGGAGGACGTGGTGGTGGAGGACGTGGTGGTGGAGGACGTGGTGGTGGAGGACGTGGTGGTGGAGGACGTGGTGGTGGAGGACGTGGTGGTGGAGGACGTGGTGGTGGAGGACGTGGTGGTGGAGGGCGTGGTGGTGGAGGACGTGGTGGTGGAGGGGCGTGGTGGTGGAGGACGTGGTGGTGGAGGACGTGGTGGTGGAGGACGTGGTGGTGGAGGACGTGGTGGTGGAGGACGTGGTGGTGGAGGACGTGGTGGTGGAGGACGTGGTGTGGAGGACGTGGTGGTGGAGGACGTGGTGGTGGAGGGCGTGGTGGTGGAGGACGTGGTGGTGGAGGGGCGTGGTGGTGGAGGGGCGTGGTGGTGGAGGACGTGGTGGTGGAGGACGTGGTGGTGGAGGACGTGGTGGTGGAGGGGCGTGGTGGTGGAGGGGCGTGGTGGTGGAGGACGTGGTGGTGGAGGACGTGGTGGTGGAGGGGCGTGGTGGTGGAGGACGTGGTGGTGGAGGACGTGGTGGTGGAGGACGTGGTGGTGGAGGGGCGTGGTGGTGGAGGGGCGTGGTGGTGGAGGGGCGTGTGGTGGAGGGGCGTGGTGGTGGAGGGGCGTGGTGGTGGAGGGGCGTGGTGGTGGAGGGCGTGGTGGTTGGAGGACGTGGTGGTGGAGGGGCGTGGTGGTGGAGGGGCGTGGTGGTGGAGGGGCGTGGTGGTGGAGGGGCGTGGTGGTGGAGGGGCTGGTGGTGGTAGCAGCAGAGTGGTGGTGGAGGGCGTGGTGGTGGTAGCAGCAGAGTGGTGGTGGAGGGCGTGGTGGTGGAGGGGCGTGGTGGTGGAGGGGCGTGGTGGTGGTAGCAGCAGAGAGTGGGGGTGGAGGGGCGTGGTGGTGGAGGGGCGTGGTGGTGGAGGGGCGTGGTGGTGGGGGGGCGTGGTGGTGGAGGGGCGTGGTGGTGGTAGCAGCAGAGTGGTGGTGGAGGGGCGTGGTGGTGGTAGCAGCAGAGTGGTGGTGAGGGGCGTGGTGGTGGAGGGGCGTGGTGGTGGAGGGGCGTGGTGGTGGTAGCAGCAGAGAGTGGTGGTGGAGGGGCGTGGTGGTGGAGGGCGTGGTGGTGGAGGGGCGTGGTGGTGGGGGGGCGTGGTGGTGGTAGCAGCAGAGAGTGGTGGTGGAGGGGCGTGGTGGTGGTAGCAGCAGAGAGTGGTGGTGGAGGGGCGTGGTGGTGGTAGCAGCAGAGAGTGGTGGTGGAGGGGCGTGGTGGTGGTAGCAGCAGAGAGTGGTGGTGGAGGGGCGTGGTGGTGGTAGCAGCAGAGAGTGGTGGTGGGGGGGCGTGGTGGTGGTAGCAGCAGAGAGTGGTGGTGGTGGTGGTGGTGGTGTGATCAATACTACTGGCACTTTCAGTGTCCTTTAGACTCCCATTTCACTCCTCGTCACCACTACTGTCTCCCCCACCTCTCTCTCTCCCTCTTTCTCTCCCTCTCTCTCTCCCTCTCTCTCTCTCCCATGACAGCCAATGTTGAGGTACAGTCCCTGGACCCATTATATACCTCTAATGTTGAGGTACAGTCTCTAAACCCATTATATACCTCTAATGTTGAGGTACAGTCCCTAGACCCATTATATACCTCTGTAATGTTGAGGTACAGTCCCTGGACCCATTATATACCTCTGTAATGTTGAGGTACAGTCCCTGGAACCATTATGTACCTCTAATGTTGAGGTACAGTCCCTGGACCCATTATATACCTCTGTAATGTTGAGGTACAGTCCCTGGACCCATTATATACCTCTAATGTTGAGGTACAGTCCCTGGACCCATTATATACCTCTGTAATGTTGAGGTACAGTCCCTGGACCCATTATATACCTCTGTAATGTTGAGGTACAGTCCCTGGACCCATTATGTACCTCTGTAATGTTGAGGTACAGTCCCTGGACCCATTATATACCTCTGTAATGTTGAGGTACAGTCCCTGGACCCATTATATACCTGTAATGTTGAGGTACAGTCCCGGGACCCATTATATACCTCTGTAATGTTGAGGTACAGTCCCTGGACCCATTATATACATCTGTAATGTTGAGGTACAGTCCTTAGACCCATTATATACCTCTGTAATGTTGAGGTACAGTCCCTGGACCCATTATATACCTCTGTAATGTTGAGGTACAGTCCCTGGACCCATTATATACCTCTGTAATGTTGAGGTACAGTCCCTGGACCCATTATGTACCTCTGTAATGTTGAGGTACAGTCCCTGGACCCATTATATACCTCTAATGTTGAGGTACAGTCCCTGGACCCATTATATACCTCTGTAATGTTGAGGTACAGTCCCTGGACCCATTATATACCTCTGTAATGTTGAGGTACAGTCCTGGACCCATTATGTACCTCTGTAATGTTGAGGTACAGTCCCTGGACCCATTATATACCTCTGTAATGTTGAGGTACAGTCCCTGGACCCATTATATACCTCTGTAATGTTGAGGTACAGTCCCTGGACCCATTATATACCTCTGTAATGTTGAGGTACAGTCCCTGGACCCATTATATACATCTGTAATGTTGAGGTACAGTCCTTAGACCCATTATATACCTCTGTAATGTTGAGGTACAGTCCCTGGACCCATTATATACCTCTGTAATGTTGAGGTACAGTCCCTGGACCCATTATATACCTCTGTAATGTTGAGGTACAGTCCCTGGACCCATTATGTACCTCTGTAATGTTGAGGTACAGTCCCTGGACCCATTATGTACCTCTGTAATGTTGGGGTACAGTCCCTGGACCCATTATATACCTCTGTAATGTTGAGGTACAGTCCCTGGACCCATTATATACCTCTGTAATGTTGAGGTACAGCCCCTGGACCCATTATATACCTCTGTAATGTTGAGGTACAGTCCCTGGACCCATTACATACCTCTGTAATGTTGAGGTACAGTCCCTAGACCATTATATACCTCTGTAATTTTTGAGGTACAGTCTCTAGACCCATTATATACCTCTGTAATGTTGAGGTACAGTCTCTAGACCCATTATATACCTCTGTAATGTTGAGGTACAGTCCCTAGACCCATTATATACCTCTGTAATGTTGAGGTACAGTCCCTAGACCCATTATATACCTCTGTAATGTTGAGGCACAGTCCCTAGACCCATTATATACCTCTGTAATGTTGTGGCACAGTCCTTAGACCCATTATATACCTCTGTAATGTTGAGAAACAGTCCCTAGACCCATTATATACCTCTGTAATGTTGTGGCACAGTCCCTAGACTCATTATGTGCCTCCGTACAGATCTTTTTAACTACAGATGCATAATAAAAATATTAAATTACTTGCATTAGTTTAATTTTTAGATTCGAGACAAAGAGAGTTGTGTGTCTGCCTGCGATCCCATTTACGTTCCTGACTTCAAGGGTACAAGTTTTTATTTAGGAAATATACAAGTGATTTTACAAACATTGACGTTAGTTTGTAATGTTGTTGTGTGTGTTTATACTTCATTAAAACATGTTAATGTATATTTAACCTAGGATAGCCTAATCTGTATTTTAATCGCCCGAGTGAATGTTTTGAATGAATTGCTTGCGACGGCTGGTAAATATATTGAATGTTGGTATATATTGAAAAAAGTGGGTGCAATTGCTGGTATATATCTTGGAAAATGGGCTGTGACTACTGGTATATATATCTTGAAGGGCTGCGTGCGACTCCTGGTAGTGGGATGTATGATAGAGAAGGGACAGCTCTGCTAGACTAGTGAAGCCAGTACTGCTGGTATATATCTTGGAAAATGGGCTGTGACTACTGGTATATATATCTTGAAGGGCTGCGTGCGACTCCTGGTAGTGGGATGTATGATAGAGAAGGGACAGCTCTGCTAGACTAGTGAAGCCAGTACTGATCTGCACCTCGGCACACACAGCTTCGTCCTCGCTCACTCCTTCCCACTTCTCTCATTGCCGGCAGCCTGTGAATACACCAGTTCTTCTGGAACTATTGTTTCTTTATCTGGGAAATGTTACGTCAAGTTCTGTATATACACAGCGTAGAATGATTTCTATATTTCGATTGTGGACATCTGTTTAAAAGGTCGTCTCTTAAAATTTTTAGTTTGGTGGATTCCGTGGGTGTAAACCTGGAGTTTACCTGGAGAGAGTTTCGGGGGTCAACGCCCCCGCGGCCCGGTCTGTGACCAGGCCTCGTGTAGATAGATTAAACGTGTGATCTATGAGAATAAATGAATGTAAGAAGTGGTGAGTACTGAAGTCTAGGAGAGGCATTCCATAATGAGTCCTGAAGCAGTGCCAGCCAGGAAAACCCCTGACCTACGTTCCCCAGTGCCAGTGCCAGCCTCGACGGTAAGCTAATAGTTCCATATATCCAAACTTCTTGAAGGGGGGGGGGGCGTTCTGATACCGCTGAAGGAGTCTTAATCTAAGGAATTGAGAGAGATAATATCTGCATCAGTAACATGTTACGGTTGTAACAAGATATTAACGTCACTAGTTGATTACCTCTGTAACTTGTTCAGCTATCAAAACTTTGTGACCCAGTCCCTGGAGCCATTATGTACCTCTGTTATGTTGAGGTACAGTCCCTGGAGCCATTATGTACCTCTGTTATGTTGAGGTACAGTCCCTGGAGCCATTATGTACCTCTGTTATGTTGAGGTACAGTCCCTGGAGCCATTATGTACCTCTGTTATGTTGAGGTACAGTCCCTGGAGCCATTATTTACCTCTGTAATGTTGAGGTACAGTCCCTGGAGCCATTATGTACCTCTGTTATGTTGAGGTACAGTCCCTGGAGCCATTATGTACCTCTGTTATGTTGAGGTACAGTCCCTGGAGCCATTATTTACCTCTGTAATGTTGAGGTACAGTCCCTGGACCCATTATGTACCTCTGTAATGTTGAGGTACAGTCCCTGGAGCCATTATGTACCTCTGTTATGTTGAGGTCACACGTCCCTGGAGCCATTATGTACTCTGTAATGTTGAGGTATAGTCCCTGGAGCCATTATGTACCTCTGTTATGTTGAGGTACAGTCCCTGGAGCCATTATGTACCTCTGTAATGTTGAGGTATAGTCCCTGGAGCCATTATGTACCTCTGTAATGTTGAGGTATAGTCCCTGGAGCCATTATGTACCTCTGTTATGTTGAGGTACAGTCCCTGGAGCCATTATGTACCTCTGTAATGTTGAGGTATAGTCCCTGGAGCCATTATGTACCTCTGTTATGTTGAGGTACAGTCCCTGGAGCCATTATGCACCTCTGTAATGTTGAGGTATAGTCCCTGGAGCCATTATGTACCTCTGTAATGTTGAGGTACAGTCCCTGGAGCCATTATGCACCTCTGTAAAGTTGAGGTATTAGTCCCTGGAGCCATTATGTACCTCTGTAATGTTGAGGTACAGTCCCTGGAGCCATTATGTACCTCTGTAATGTTGTGGTACAGTCCCTGGAGCCATTATGCACCTCTGTTAAAGTTGAGGTATAGTCCCTGGAGCCATTATGCACCTCTGTAATGTTGAGGTATAGTCCCTGGAGCCATTATTGTACTCTGAAAAGTTGAGGTACAGTCCCTGGAGCCATTATGTACCTCTGTAATGTTGAGGGACAGTCCCTGGAGCCATTTTTGTACCTCTGTAATGTTGAGGTACAGTCCCTGGAGCCATTAGTACCTCTGTAATGTTGAGGTACAGTCCCTGGAGCCATTATGTACGTCTGTAATGTTGAGGTACAGTCCCTGGAGCCATTATGTACCTCTGTTACGTTGAGGTACAGTCCCAGGATCCATTATGTACCTCTGTAATGTTGAGGTACAGTCCCTGGACCATTATGTTTTCCTCTGTAATGTTGAAGTGCAATCCCTGGACCCTTATGTTACCTCTGTAATGTTGAGGTGTTGTCCCTGGACCCATTATGTACCTCTGTAAAAAGTTGAGGTACAGTCCCTGGACCCATTATGTACCTCTGTAATGTTGAGGTACAGTCTCTGGACCCATTATGTACCTCTGTAATGTTGAGGTACAGTCCCTGGACCCATTATGTACCTCTGTAATGTTGAGGTACAGTCCCTGGCCCATTATATACCTCCCGTAATGTTGAGGTACAGTCCCCGGACCCATTATGGTAAACCCCTGTAATGTTGAGGTACAGTCCCTGGACCCATTATGTACCTCTGTAATGTTGAGGTACAGTCCCCGGACCCATTATGTACCTCTGTAATGTTGAGGTACAGTCCCTGGACCCATTATGTACCTCGTAATGTTGAGGTACAGTCCCTGGGTCCATTATGTACCTCTGTAATGTTGAGGCACAGTCTCTGGGCCCATTATGTGCCTCTGTAATGTTGAGGTACAGTTCCTGGGTCCATTATGTACCTCTGTAATGTTGAGGCACAGTCTGGGCCATTATGTTTCTTGTAATGTTTGGGTACAGTTCTGGGCCCTCATGTATGTAATGTTGAAGGTGCAGTTTGACTATTATCTGTCTACTATACTACTACTACTACTACTACTACTACTAATAATAATAATAATAATAATAATAATAATAATAATACCTTTATTTAGTACCAGTACATGTACAAGGTATACAGACCATAGCTGACATCACTGACATACTACTATATAGAAAGTCACTTGTTATGCTGAGCATTTCCTGCAAATTATGTCAGTTTTGTCCCAGGATGCCACCCACATCAGTTAACTAACACCAGGATGCGACCCACACCAGTCCACTAACACCCAGGATGCGACTCACACCAGTCCACTAACACCCAGGTACCTGTTTACTGATGGGTGAACATGGACAACCGGTGTAAAGACACACGTGCAATGTTTCTACCCTCGCCTGGAATCTAACCCGGGCCCTCACCGTGTGAAGCGAGAGCGTCATCCACCAGGCCAGGGGCGCATAATAAACGTACCTGGAGTTTACCTGGAGAGAGTTCCGGGGGTCAACGCCCCCGCGGCCCTGTCTGTGACCAGGCCTCCTGGTGGATCAGAGCCTGATCAACCAGGCTGTTGCTGCTGGCTGCACGCAAACCAACGTACGAGCCACAGCCCGGCTGGTCAGGGATACCCTCCCCTGGATGAAACCAGATTACTCCCCACAAATGTTATCTTTGTCCAGGAGATGAATGATCCCTACGGGTTTAGTGCTTACCTAATGCGATAGTTACTCCGATGTATGATCATTTATTCTCATTATCGTTACGTGAGGGAGATCTAAACTTGTCTTATACAAAAATTTGGGAATAATAACCAATCGGATTGAAGAGAAAGGGGAGGTCAGCTCTTTTTCCTTGGAAAAAAACCCCTTCGCAGCAAAGTATTTTCTTCCCTTAAAAGGGAATGGGATTTTTATGGTTAGGTTTTGGGTTTAGGTTAGGTTAGGTCGGGTTGGGTCAGGTTGGGTTGGTTAGGAGGTTAGGTGGGTTAGGTTAGGTTAGGTTGGTTGGGTTGGGTTGGGTCAGGTCGGTGGGGTTAGGTTGGTTAGGTTGGGTTTGGTTGGGTCAGGTCGGTCAGTTAGGTTAGTTGGGAAATTTTAGGTCGGGGTTAGGTTGGTTAGGTCAGGTTAGGTAGTTAGGTTGGGTTAGGTCAGGTTAGGTCGGGTTATTTTGGGTTAGGTTGGTTGGGTTTTGGTAGGTTAGGTTAGGTTAGGTTATTTCGGGTCGGTCGGGTTTGGGTTGGGTTTTGGGGTGGGGGTTGGTCAGGTTGGTTAGGTTAGGTCAGGTTAGGTCGGTTTTGGGTTTGGTTAGGTGGTTGGTCAGGTTGGGTTTTGGGTTAGGTTGGTTGGGTTAGGTTAGGTCAGGTTGGGTCAGGTTAGGTTAGGTTAGGTAGTTAGGTCAGGTTGGTTTAGGTTGGGTTAGGGGTTAGGTTGGTTGGTGGTTGGTTATTTTAGGTCAGGTCAGGTCGGGTTTGGGTTGGGTTAGGTAAGGTTAGGTCAGGTTGGTTTTGGTTTAGGTCAGGTTAGGTCAGGTTAGGTTAGGTTAGGTCGGTTAGGTCATTTTAGGTTGGGTTAGGTTTAGTTGGTTAGGTTAGGTCAGGTTAGGGGTTAGGTTAGGTTAGGTCGGGTTGGGTTAGGTTGGGTTAGGTTAGGTTAGGTCAGGTTAGGTTAGGTTAGGTCAGGTTAGGTCAGGTTGGGTTGGTTTTGGGTTTAGGTTGGGTTATTTAGGTCAGGTCGGGTAGGTTAGGTTGGGTTGGGTAAGGGTTTAGGTCGGTTAGGTTGGGTTAGGCTTTGGGTCAGGTTATTTTAGGTTAGAGGTTGGTGGGGTTAGGTTGGTTTAGGTTAGGTTAGGTTGGTTAGGAGGTTGGGTCGGGTTTTAGGTTAGGTTAGGAAAGGGTTAGGTCGGTTGGGTTAGGTTAGGAAAGGGTTTGGGTTCAGGAGGTTAGGTTAGGTCGGTTAGGTTAGGTTAGGTTAGGTTGGTTAGGTTAGTTAGGTTGGTTAGGTCAGGTCGGGTATTTTTGGTTAGGTTGGGTTAGGTTAGGTGGGTCAGGTCGGTTAGGTTAGGTTAGTTAGGTTGGGTAGGTCAGGTCAGGTATAGGTTAGGTCGGTCAGCGGTTAGGTTTGGTTAGGTTAGGTTAGGTTAGGTCGGGTTTAGGTTGGGTTAGGTTAGGTTGGTTAGGTTAGGTCGGTCAGGTCAGGTTAGGTTGGTTAGGTTGGTTAGTCAGGTTAGTTAGGTTAGGTTGGGTTGGGTTAGGTGGCGGGTTGGTTAGGTCGGGGTCAGGTGGGTTTAGGTTAGGTTAGGAAAATTTGTCAGGAACAGGACAAGTTTTTTCCTGATGCAGGTCTTAGTTTATGGACCCACAGCTGGAGCTTAGGGTCATCTGACCGGCCTTCCACTGGCTTACCGTCCCCCCTTTAAAAAAATTTTTAGAATTAGATTTATTTGATCTTGACCGAGGACTGTGATAGGTGTCCCGGGGTCGCTAGCGCACTCAGCTACACACTGACGGAGTTCGAACCCCCGGAAACGGGGAAAAACATTAGGGACGTGTTTTCCCTAAAAACCCTGCTGTCCATGTTCACCCATAGTTTAAAATAGGGACCTGGGTGTTATGGATGGTGTGGGTCCATCCCGGGGGAAAATGATATAATTTTAGGGAAATTTTTCAGCATAACAAGTGACTTTCTATTAGAGTATGTCACTGATGTACTATGGTTGTATACCTTGTCATTTTCTGGTAACCCCGTAAATTAGGTATACCTTATAAATGTCTGGTATACCTTGTACATTTTCTGGTATACCCCTTTTCATGACTGGTTCCTTTTACTTTACTGGTATACCCTTTTAATGTACGGTATCCCCCCTTGTACAGATGGGAAAACCCTTTACATGTACTGGTACC